TCTTTTCATGTTTACCATCTGTATGTCTTTATTGGAAAAATGTGTATTCAGGTCCTCTGCCCATTTTAAAATTAGACTATGTTTTTTTGGTGTTAAATTATAGAAGTTCTTTATGTATTTTGGATATTCATACTTTATTGGATATATCATTTGCAAATATCTTTTCCCATTTAGTAGATTGCCTTTTGTTTTGTTAATGGTTTTCTTTGCTATACAAAAGCTTTTAATTTTGAGGTGGTTCCAATAGTTTATTTTTGCTTTTGTTTCCCTTGCCTTAGGAGACACATCTAGAAAAATGTTGATGTGGTTGATGTCAGAGAAATTACTGCTTGAACTCTCTTCTAGGATTTTTATGGTTTCAGGTCTTACATTTAGGTCTTAAATCCATTTTGACTTTATTCTTGTGTATGGTATGGTGTTAAGAAGTGGTCCAGTTTCTTTTGCATGTAGCTATCCCATTTTTCCAGCACCATTTATTAACACAACTATCTTCTTCCCCATTTTATAGTCTTGCCTACTTTATCATACATTAGTTGGCTGTATAATCATGGGTTTATTTATGGGGTCTCTATTCTGTTCCGTTGATCTATTTGTCTTGTTTTTGTGTCTGCACCATACTGTTTTGATTACTACAGTTTTGTAGTATATCTTGAAACCCAGGAGTGTGATATCTCTAGCTTTTTCTTTTTCTTTTTTTTTTTTTTTTTTTTTTTTACCCTCTCAAGATTGGGTATTTGGGATATTTTGAGGTTCCATACAAATTATTTGTTCTAATTCTATGAAAAATGCTGTGTGTATTTTGATAGGTATTGCATTGAATCTGTAGATTGTTTTGGGTAATATGGACATTTTAACAATATTATTATGATCCATGAACATGGAACTTCTTTCCATTTGTTTATGTCATCTTCAATTTATTTTCATTAATGTTTTATAGTTTTCAGAGTCCAGGTCTTTCACCTTTTTGGTTAAGTACTTGATTAAGTGTTATTCTTTCTGGTATAATTATAAATGATGTTGGTTTCTTAATTTCTCTTTGTGCTACCTCATTATTAGTATGTAGAAACACTACTGATTTCTAGGTATTAATTTTGCATGCTGTAACTTTATTGAATTCATTTATTACATCTAGTAGTTTTTTGGTGGAGTTTTTAGGATTTTCTGTGTATCATGTCCTCATCAGTTTAACTTTTACCAATATGGATGCCTTTTATTTCTTTTTCTTGTCTGATTGCTATGGCTTGGACTTCCAGTACTGTGTTGAGTAAAAGAGAGGAGAGTGGGTATTCTGTCTTATTCATAATCCTAAGTTCTCAGTTTTTCATCATTGAATATGCTATTAGCTATGGGTTTCGTGTGTGTGTATGAGAATGTATGTGTATATATACATACTCTAACCTCACTTTGTTGAGACATTTTTTAAAAATCATTAATGGATATTGGATTTTGTCAAATGCTTTGCAACTATTGAGATGATCATGATTTTTATACTTCATTTTGTTGGTAGTGGTATATCACATTGGTTGATTTATAGATATTGAATCATGCTTGCATTTCCAGAATAAATCCCCCTTGATCCTGGTGAATAATCTTTTTAGGGTATTGTTGTATTTGATTTGCCAAATTTTGATGAGGATTTTTGCATCTATGTGCAAGAATATTGACCTGTAGTTTCTGGTTTTTTTGTGGTATCTTTGGTTTTAGTATCAGCGTAATGCTAGCTTTGTAGAATATATTTGGAAGTTTTCCTTCTATTTTTTTGGAATTGTTTGAGGAGAGTAAGTATTAATTATCTACGAATGTTTGGTAGAATTGACCTGTGAATCTGTCTAGTCCAGGGCTTTAGTTTTTTGGTGGTTTTTGATTAGTGATTCAGTTTCTTTACTTTTAATCAGTTTCTTCAGATTTCCTGTTTCTTCCTGATTTAGTTTTAGACGATTGTATGTTTTTAGAAATTTATCCATTTCGTGCTTGCTTCGGCAGCACGTATACTAAAAATAGAAATTTATCCATTTCTTCTAGATTGCTCAGTTTGTTGGCTTATAATTTTTCATCATAGTCTCTTATGATCCTTTGTATTTCTGTGGTTTTAGTTATTACTACTGTCTTATTTCTGATTTTACTTGGGTTTTTTCTCTTTTCTTGAAAAAGATAGTAGTCTTGGCTAAGGTTTATCAATTTTGTTTATCTTTTCAAAGAACCAGCTCTTGGTTTTGTTGATTTTTTTTTCTACTGTGTTTTTTTGTTTCTATGTCATTTATTTCTGCTCTGATCTTTATTTTTTCCTTTTTTTTCTACTGACCTTGGGCTTTGCTTGTTCTTTTTCTAGTTCCCTGAGGTGTAAGGTTAGGTTGTTTATTTGAGCTCTTCTTTCTTTAGGGAGGCCTATATCACTATATTTTCTTCTTAAACTGCGTTTACTGTGTTCCAGAGGATTTTAGATCATTATGTTTTCATTTTCATTTGTCTCAATGTGTTTTTTTAATTTGTTCTTTAATTTCTTTTGGTCCTTAGTTGTTAGAATCATACTGTTTAGCCTCCATGTTTTTGTATTGTTTCCTTTTTTTCCTCATGATTTACTTCTAGTTTCATACAATTGTGATTGGAAAAGATAACATGGTATGATATTAATCTTCTTAAATTTATTGAGGCTTGTTTCATGGTCCAATATGTGATCTCTTCTGGAGAGTGTTCCATGTGCGCTTAAATGTTTATTCTGTTGTTTTTATTTTTTTAATTATTTATTTTTAAAAGTTTATTTGTTTATAATCTCTACCCTAATGTGGGAGCTTGAATTTACAACCCTGTAATCAAGAGTCACATGCTCTACCAACTGAGCCTGTCAGGTACCTCTCTTCTGCTGTTTTTAGATGGAATGTTCTATATGTATCCGTTGTATCCATCTGGTCCCATATGTCATTTAAAAACACTGAATCTCTTGTTGATTTTTCTGCCTGGGTGGTCTATCCATTGATGTAAGTGGTATGTTAAAGTCCTCTAATATTATTATTTTACCATCAGTTTCTCTCTTTATGCCCATTAATATTTGCTTTCTGCATTTAGGTGCTCCAGTGTTGGGTGTATAGTTGTTTACAATTATTATATCTTCTTGTTAGGTTGACCCTTTTATCATTATGTAAAGCCCTTCTTCGTCTCTCATTAGTCTTTATTTTAAAGTCTGCTTTGTCTGATATAAGTATTGCTACCCTGCTCCCCTCCACCCCCACTTCCATTTCCATGGTTAATGCACTGTCATCACTTTGCTTTCAGCCAGTGTCTTTAGATCTGAGGTGAGTCTCTTATAAACAGCACATAGATGGGTCTTGTTTCTTTATCCATTTTGCCATTGTATGTCTTTCGATTAGAGCATTTAGGCCATTTGCATCTAAAATAATTATTGATAGATATTGCTATTTTGTTATTTGTTTCCTGGTTGTTTTTGTAGTTCTTCTCTGTTCCTTCCTCTCTTACTCTTTTTGTGTGTGTGTGTGTGATTGATGAGTTTCTATAGTCTTATGTTTGGTGTTCTCTCTTTTTATTTTTTGTTTATTATAGGTTTTAGGTTTGTGGTTACTATGAGATTCATATATAACATCCTAAGTAAATAGCAGTCTATGTTAGTTAAATGGTCATTTAAGATCTAATACATTCTTATTAAAAAAAAGAAAGAAAAAGAAAAAAAATACCTTTTCTTTTTCCTCCTCCCTTTTTATTCCCGCCTCCATGTTTTATGTATATGTGATCATATTTTACTTTTTAAAAAAGGTTTTATTTAATTGAGAGAGAGAGTGTGTGTGCATGAGAGAGCACAAATGGAGGGGGAGGGGCAGAGGGAAAAGCAGATACTACCCCCCCACCCCTCCCACCACTGAGCAGGGAGCCCAACACATACATGCCTTGATCCCAGGACTCTGAGATCATGACCTGAACAGAAGACAGACACTTAACCAACTGAGCCACCCAGGCACCCCTACATTCTTTTTTTTTCTTTTTTAAAGATATAGTTATTTATTAGGATGTGAGCAGGGGGAGGGACAATGGGAGAAGGAGAAAGAGAATCTTAGGCTCCACACCCTGTGTGGAGCCTGGTGTGGACTTGATCTCACAACCCTGAGATCATGACCTGAGCCAAAATCAAGAGCCCAAGCCTTAACTGACTGAGCCACCCAGTGCCCCATGTCTTTTATTCACAATTTTCTTACGTCTACTTATAGCCATTTCTTTTCTACTTAAAGAAGTCCCTTTGGGGTGCCTGGGTGACTCAGTTGGTTAAGCCACTGCCTTCGGCTCAGGTCATGATCCTGGAGTCCCAGGATTGAGTCCCGCATTGGGCTCCCTGCTTGGCAGGGAGTCTGCTTCTCCAGTTGACCTCTCTCCTCTCATGCTCTCTCTCTCTCTCTCTCTCAAATAAATTAAAAAAAAAACTTAAAAAAAAAAAAGAAGTGCCTTTAACTCTTCTTCTAAGACTCATTTATCTTTTATTTGTCTGGGAAACTCTTTACCATTCCTTCAAATTTAAAGGATTACCTTGCCAGATAGAGTATTCTTAGCTGTAGGGTTTTTTTCCTTTCAGGACTTCGAATATGGCATGCCACTCCATTCTGGCTTGCAAAGTTCCTGCTGAAAAATCAGCTCATAGTCTTAGAGATTTTCCCTTGTAGGTAACTTTTTTCTCTCTCTTATCAAATAACTTTCATTCAGCTGAAATTCAGGATCTGTTTTTCTGTGTCCATATATTTGCAAGGGACTAATTCACGTAATTAATGCAGGGGATGCTTTTTGAATTTATTACACAGAAAATATTGGGTATTTTGGAGAACACAAGATTATTTCACTCAACAAACTTTAATTTAAAATGCTTTTTATGAGTAGGAGAGGTGGCCTTTGAGTAAATGCTAAAGTATACCTCGAAGTGGTAGAGAAAATTTGTTTATTTGAGCTCATGAATCTTATATTTTATAACATTGCACAACAAGCACATGTTTTTTGTTCTTAAACAGGTTTCTGCATGTTTGTGCTGAGCTTGGTGAAGAAACATTATCGTCTGCAGTTTTATATGGTCTGTATTAACCATAAGTACATGTAATAAAAATGTGCTTGCCTTTATTTTTTTTCTATAGTGAGAAGATCTAATCTGCTAGTTGATGTTTTGCCTAAATTTGAGGAGTATTTCAATTTTGGATGACTGTTACATACAAAAGGTTTAAGTTGTACAATTCTTGAAGATTTTAAAATTTTAACTGGTTTCAAAGTATCTATGATATTTTTCTATGGACAATAACTATCTTTATTTGTCCTTAGCTGAGCATAAGGAGAACAGAACATATATTTTCCTGGTAGCTGTGGTTAGTCACACAGTTAATTGCAAATTCTTTTTGGCCTAAGGTGTTTTATGTAGTTTATCATTGAATTGTGCTTAGTATTTTATGAAATTTATCACTGTGTATGATGAATTTTTCTTATTTTCTTAAAAGGTAGCTAATTATAAGAATGTAAAATGGAAAATATAGTATTTAGATCTGTGAATTCATGTATTAATAAGGCTTGTTTTGGATTTGGATATATTTCCTATTTTTTATGCTTTGCTTTTCCACACTGAGACATTCTGCTGAGCATCATCACTGGGAAACTGTAATATTTCTTAAATTTCTAATTTGGGGGAATCTTGAGGAGAGTCAAATTATCCATGAAAATCTAGAAACCATCAAGATGAGTTAGAAATAATAGAATCTCCTATGAAAACATAAATTTTATTGGAAAAAAATCATTTACGCATTTTGAAGCGACCAAAATGAAAGAGAATTAGATCTTCTATGCAGATAAAAATAAAACAAATATATTATAAAACCTCATTTATTATTTGCCAAAATGAGAAATAGGTTTATTATGAATAAATCCAAATCTTAAAATTTTTAAACATTTTATAAATTCCAGTCAAAATTATGAGACAGATATAGAAACGTTAAGATATATATTTTTTTCCCATTCACATTCTACTCATACAAGTGATGCTAAAAAAAATTACTAAAATGGCATCTCTCAGGCTAGATGGACTTGATGAAACACACAGGTTTGAAATTTTGAAATTGAATACTGTCCTTTAATGGTACTGTAAAGACCAACTTTCAAGTATGGAATGCTGGTGTTTAAGAGTAACTGGTCCCTGTTGGTTTGAGTTATCTGAAGGCAGAAATAACTCTCTATGGGAAAAGTTACCATAATGAACTCTGAAAAAAGAAGAGCTTTTAGCATTTTTAATGCAGAATGCAGCCAGAGCAAAATGGTCCTCTCTAGATGCTGTAAGAACAGCAGAAATTTCTCATTATCATTTTAATCTAATGATTCAGGATTATTGTATATTTTGTATATGTTTTTAAATTCAGTAATGTTTCCAAGTATTGTTAGCATTCCATTTTTGTTTAAATTAAGATTACTTTGTTCAATGTCTTCATGGTTTTAAGGTTCCAGTAGACCCTCAAATGACTATAATTTACTAACAGCGTTTATTTTGTATGTCCCTATCTTACAAACTTTGACCAAAAGTCATGCTAGAAATTTGTGTTTCAAAATTGCTCTTGCTTCCAGGGCTGCACTGATCAGCTATGCTCACTAATTGTTGTGTTGTTGGGCTATTAACAGTTCGCATGGACTCATGTCACTCTACTGATAACAGTTACTCAGTCACATCTTGTCATCCAAAATCTGTTTGAAGGCATGATATGGTAAGGGGACGGCATTATGCTGCTTTGTATTTATGTCCTAGCCTTTTTAAAGCTCTTTCAGTTGGGCAGTGTCTTATAGATTTCTACTAAAATGTACTCTTTGTTGTTGCTCTATCACTAAAATATCTTACTGAGTTTTGCTTTACTCTTTGACAACTGAAGACAAACACTTCGTTAACAACTTGAAAACCCTTCTTTTTCGGCTTCCAAATAAAATGCAGGAAGTCCTCATAAAAGCTCCAAAAATTAATTACATTTTCAGTGTTACTACATCTTATGTGTCTTTTTACAAAGCATACACAGATTTTAAAAAGAGTATATTATTTTTGTGGAATGCAAAAGAACATGAAAGTTGGCTTGTGAGCAAACACTGTGCTGAATGAAAGTTGGGTAGGTTCCACTCTGCCTTTATACAGGAGTGTCCAGATTTCAGATGGAATTACTTGCTGTCTAGCAGTGACTTGAATATTCAGAAAGCATTTTTTTATTAGTTTAAAATTATAAAAATTATTAGTTAAAAACATAGTGGAGAAAAATGATTTAAGAAATCTGGCCATGTTATCCCCACATTCTTTTTAAACCCATTAGTTAAAATCTTTTATAGTCAATAGGTCTTTGTCAAGATAAAATCCTTCACAGCTTTGTGTTTTGTTCTTGTTTTTTTTTAATACCAAGGGGTGTGTGTGTGTATGTGTGTGTGTAAAATGATCAGAATCATTTTGAGATTCTCTTCCACATACAAACTTTTAATTGATAGGGGGCAGCTACTGAAATTAGTAGGTTCTATAAAAGTAGCAGGGTTTAATATAACTATAGGCTAAGGTAGAATTAAAATTGATAGTTCTTCCCGAGAAAGAATTTGTATTAAGTGCTTGTTACAAATTTATGAGATTATATTGTGTCTAAACAAATGACTCCTTTCCATTTTGAAAGACTGCTTATTTTAATTCTTTGTGCTGTTATAACTTGTTTCTCATAAAATCGAAATTTGAAAGTCCATAGCTATAGAAATGGATTGCTTAATATTAAAATTAAATTGATTATTTAATATTTTCCTTAGCAATATTCTCCTGATATGTTGGTTTATTTATAGATTTTTCTCTGCTGAATTGCATTAAGCTGATCTGGGCAAATTTACTTGATATATATCATTTCTACTAATGTTTTGGCAAATGTTCTGGATGAGGCTGCAGTATAATCCAAAGGGTTATTGCATTGGTTCTTTATGAGTCATAACCTGTATAAATGTTTGACACTTAATCATATGGACTTTTTTTCTGATTTTCTTTAAGGTTCCTTGTTCCAATATCAAGTGTTATTTGCAATGACATAACTGCTTACCTTTTTGGATTTTTTTTTGGGAGGACTCCATTAATTAAGGTAATGGAACAATATCTTGAGCAAGCCATTACCATAACCTTAAGATGAGCCACTGGAGAAAATTTCCAACAATTTGGTGCTGTACTACATTTTTATTTGTGAGGTGCTTTGATTTTCCCATAGCTGTATTTAACAGCCACAGTGTAGGGGCAGTGAGCCATATTTCCCAATGATTCCATCTGGATACTTTGTGAGATAGTCTCTTGGCTGCTCAATAAGGACCTGTCTCTATCAATTATCCTTCATCTTGTGAAGGCTCATTTCATCTTTCGGCTGGTTTCTTTCCATTAGCTACAGTGCAAGTCTTCCTTCTTCCATTCCATTGTAGCAACCCTACAAACAAGTCTTTCCTAGACTCTGCTCCTTTAGCAATTATTTTGAAAGGGTACACTTAACCATCTTCACATACTCATGTCCATCTGTAAAGCTTTTACACCCAAACTCATTTCAAAAAAACCCCTGAGGCCCTACAATAAAATACTGGTGATGCAAGTAATAAGTAAATGTTAGACAAGGGAAAGAAAAATACACATGAGCAGATCATGTGGTTTTGCCTTTGATTTGGTTCTACTTACAGTCAGTGGAGGCAAAGAAGGAAATGAATTGTTATACGGTTCTCATTTTGGAGAAGAAACAAACCAATTCCTCATGGAAAAATCATAGAACTAATTACTTTTAAACAAACTTTTCATGTTGGGGCTTTAGATAGGATTCACTCCATTCATGTGTCAGGCAGAATCTTTAATAATATTCCCACAAATATGTTAATTGGCTCTTTGGATGTTACTACACGAAGGCAGTTTGGAGGAACTGAGACGGTTGTGCAGGTACCAAACCTGTTTGATCAGAATGATACGAGGCGTAAGTGTTCCCAGAGGAAAGCATGAAGTGCTTATCCTTCAAGAAAATCTTCCATGAATTCTTCCCCACATAGGAGTCTAGCATACAACATCGGGCTGAGCTGTAGGGATACAGGCAAGCAAGCTAAATATATATATATTTAAACATTTCTAAAGCTGCTTCAGCATAAGAGTACGTGATTAAATATTCAAGGCTTCTATATCAGATGAGAAGTTTTTGGCTTTGGAAGTCTTGAAAGAGGTTGTTATGGATGTGGAAGAATGTTACTGTCTGATTTTGAACATAGATTTCTAGTGAATTTAGGGCTGGATTAGTTGTATAATATACCCATATGTAATTAAACAAGTTAACCTCTAAATCAGTTTGATATAGATCAATTTAATTTGATAAGTTATCTTTATTTTTTTTTCTTGAAGATTTATTTATTTGAGAGAAAGAGAGAAAACACAAGTTGGGGGAGAGGCAGAATGAAGGGGGAGAGAGAATCCCCAAGAAGACTCCCCGCTGAGCACAGAGCCTGACACAGGGCTCAGTCCCAGGACCCTGAGATCATGACCCCAGCCGAAATCAAGAGCCAGATGCCCAACCCTGAGCCTCCCAGGTTCCCAATTAAGTTATCTCTGAAATAATCAACAGTCACTTTTCAATTTGAGTCAGCTCCTACTTCATGACAGTAATACTGAATTATACTAGGAAATGGTGTGTATCACTCTCATCTCTGTGGCAGAATTGTTATCAGATTTATCAAGAAACTGTTTCTATCAACGTTTTTGGCTTTGGCCTTTCGTGAACATCGTTAAGACAAGAGGTCTATGAAGAGATCATGTAGTTTAGCCTGTCACCTGTTGCTGTCTGCATAAACTTCTGTCTGATATTTATTTGGCTTCTGCCCTCACCCATCCACTGAAAGGGTCATCACAGAGGTCATCAGTGATCTTCTGATGACCAGATCCCTGTGTATCAGTCCTTATCTTATAGGATAAGGCAGTTAGTGCTGTCCACTCCCAAATCTTTTCCTCCTGCCCCTGCATCACTGATTTCCAAACTTTCCTCCAGATTTCTCTGCCTGAATGCCCCATTGACTGAGAAACAATAGCCGGAATCTGAAACAGTATCTATTCTTAGAAGCACAACATGTTCCTTTCTTCATGGAGACAGACATAGATTGTGACCAAAGGGAGAAGGATATGTGAATACTTGTGGAGCAAATACTGTATCTGGAGTGTTTTGCCATTTCAGAAAGAGGTCTGTCATATGCATGGCATTTTGGGGAATATACAAAAATCTGATGTGCTGCATTGTCCATGTTTTGTGATATTCTGTTTTTTGTCAGTAGTAGGTCAATACAGATCGTATGTACTTGGAATGAGTACATCTCATCCTTATTGCAAGAACTATGCTCTTGTGGGGGTTTATATAAGCTTTAAAGTCATGGGTTGATTTTAATCTAGAGTTTATAGTTCTTTGAGAGAGAAATAAGTTGAGGTTATACAGAAACAGACATATATTCACAGTATGTCAAATATTTGAGGGTCTAATATGTTGCATATTACTAGAGAAATTTGCACAAATAAGTCAGGATCATGGAGTGAAGGAAAAAGGGTTGCAGAGCCATTCCAATAAGAAAAAGTAAGGAGAGATGTATAAGGTATTGTGGGAATTTACTGAAGAGAGTTTGCCTGTGTATTTGTGTGTTTTGTGAGTGGAGTAACTCTTTTCAATTTATTTGACCTTTTTTAGTTGTCGCCTAAAAAGACTTGGGAAGGATTTATTGGCGGTTTCTTTTCCACAGTCGTGTTTGGATTCATTGTGAGTTTTGCTGGGATTTTTATTTACATTTTGGAAAATGATGGCAAGTTTTACTAATCTATTCTAAACCTAAAAAAACTGAACCACAAAATGTTAATAATGTATTTATTAAAACCCACTAAGCAGAACCAGTTTTGTACCCCAGTAGCTCTGATCATGGCCTCATATCAGAATTACCTGGGGATCTTTTATAAAGTCTATGTCCCAGCCCTATCCCAAGTCCGTTAACTCCCCCAGCTGATTCTAATGAACAGCTAGGCTTGAGACCCATTGCTGTGCTGTTGTGTTTTGGTAGTTTCTAACAGTTGTTCTGCCTTCAGGGGGACCCAGTTACTGGGATAAGTAGTGGCTTTGAGTAAAGCAGAGAATATTAATGATATTGAAGAACTCTGCCTCCCTAATGCATACCGGCTAGTTTACTTAGTGGGTACTGCTGTGAGCCCAACTTGTAGGAAAAGTTTGTTAAAAATAATTGGCATTTACTTTTAGATATGCATAACAGATATTGTTAATGTTTCAAAAATTAGTGTACAGTTACAGAATTTAGGTTTTTATTAAAAGAGGTCTTGTGAGAATCGAAGGTTATAATAAAATGGCTGGATAAAAGATAAGTATACAAAAACTGTTAAGTTTAAGTTTTTTATAGAATATATATATATAAGCATATATATAATTGTTATTTTCATTCACTGTTTCATGGACTCTTGCTTTGTTATTCAGGCTGCCTACATGTTATCCAAATACCAGTACTTTGTCTGCCCAGTGGAATACCGAAGTGATGTTAACTCCTTTGTTACAGAATGTGAACCCTCTGAACTTTTCCAGCTTCAGAGTTATTCACTTCCTCCCTTTCTAAAGGCAGTGTTGAGACGGGTAAGATAAATATATATAAATAAATAAATATAATATAAATATAAATATAGGATCCTGTATCCCAAAGATGAAGGTTCATTTAAAAGTAGCACTAAACTTCTGTCCCCTTGTGGTTTCCCTTTCTTGAACATAAAATGAATATTACTATCACAAACCAGCTGTCTGTTTGGAATTTACTTACCTTGTGGTTTGAATGATTATTTATGGTAATTTACCTTGTATTTGTTTTGAAAACATTTTTCAGTATTCCTTAGATTTCTGCAAATCAAATGGGTTACAGTGAGCTTCACTTGTAACCGGTAGGAATGGACTCAATTTAAAGCTTAATTAAAAAGGAATCAACAGCTCAAAGATTCCTTGACTTTTAGGGGACCTTTAATAGTGCAGAAAGCTGCTGCTTCTAAAAAATCAGTTTCCCTTTGAAAAGCATACTGTTGCCATTTGAAGGTAACGTTGAGGCCTCTCACTGGAGGATGTTGACATGCTGTCCATTAGAACCCTGCTGATCTATGTCATCAAGACTGGTGGGTGGTTGGTTAAAGTAAGGAATCAAATAGCTGCATGTGTGTGCTGTGTACCTGTGTGTATCTGAGATATTTTCACTAAAGTCCATAATTTTTGAGGAGGAGGTTAACCAACAAATTATTTCTCTCCTCGAGTATGCAATACATGGAATCTAAGAGTTTTTTTCAGTGTCCAAGCCATCTGTTATCTGCTGTAAAACTTTTTGGTACTACCAGTCTTTGAATGGGACAAGGACTTTGCTTTGAGAACAGGTCCAGAGACTGGTGTTCAGAATGATCTTTCTAGAGCCTACCTATCTATGCGCTGTCTGCAGTTTATAGTTCCAGTCTATTTAAAGTTGAACAAGAACCAAGAATTTACTAAATAATTTGTGTGGAGAATTATTCTCAATTTCTATTATCTCCTCCCTGAATCTTTTATGACTGTCTTGCTGATGCTCAATTTGCTGGTCTTTTTTTTTTTAAAGTAAAAGACAAACTTTCCCTTCATTTTGTCATATACAATTAAAGTGAAATAAAATACAAAAGTTATACAGTTCTAGTAAGAAATTCAGAAATTAACTCAACTGATTCTTGGTAAACCTACAACTCAAGTGTTGTAGAAGTTTCTGTATGAACTAGAGTATCCTGCCAACTGCAAGATTTTAGTGTGCGTGGTGCTGTCAGAATACTTAGAGGGGGGAATGGAGAGTACTGGCTAAGTAGAGGATGGGAATGAGAGATTACAACACATTTTTCTCCCATGATCCTGAAAGTTTATGAAGTTACCAAAAATGTGGTATAATGGTTTGATTTAATATTTATATCATAGTTCTTAGTGGAGGTGGCATGCTCAAATACAATATTAATGCAGTTAAATCCCTTCCCCCTTTATTTTCTCTTTAGGAAACAGTGAGCTTGTATCCTTTCCAGATACACAGCATTGCTCTTTCAACATTTGCATCTTTGATTGGCCCTTTTGGAGGCTTCTTTGCCAGTGGATTCAAAAGAGCATTCAAAATCAAGGTGTGTGTTTAGAATCTTTGTTATTATTAGAGAATATAAGTAGAGAATACAATATAGTTGTAATTTGGTTCTCTCTTAGTCTCCCACGTTAAGCCGCTGGGCAAAAACTTTTACATTCTATTTGTTTCAGCCTCAGAGAAATGCATCCTGGCTGATTCGAGTATATTCTCTCTTGTTAAATTTGGGACAGGCCATGTTAATACATTTTAAAGTGTTATGTCAGCCACATTCATAGAATCGGCGTGTGTCAATGTTGGGACAAATGCAGAATCTTAGTGCTTCAAGTTCTCCTCCAAAAATCCAGCTATGAATCGTCCAAAGTTTATGTGTTGTGCCACAGTCTCACTTAAAGAGACAAGCAGGAGAACCTTTGGATTTAACCATCCATTCTCCTAGATCTGGGGTCAGTAAACTCTTTCTGTAAAGGAAGAAATCATTTATTAAGCTCATTGTAGCTACCCAACTCTGAACTCTGCCATTGTAATGCAAAGCCCTGTGGCCAGTATGTCAACAAATGGCCATGACTGGGTTTTAATAAAACTTTATTTACAAAATAGGTAGTGGGCTAGACTAGGACTATGGGACAGTTTGCTGATCTCTTTTCATGACACATAAAATTATCCCTATATTTCATTTAATTTGGATTCTCAGAAAGTCACATGTATTTATTATCTTCGCTCTTGTGCCATTGGGAGTCAGAGAATAGCTATTGAAAGTGGGGTGAACAGGGCAGGCCTTTCTGGAGGAGGTGGCATTTGAACAGGGGCCTGAGAAGAGAAGGAGTCCTATAGAAAAATCGAAGGAAGAGAGTTCCAGTGAGTGCAAAGGAGAGGAGGAGCTTAGCCTGTTTGAAGGGGAGTGAGAACACCCTGACTGTGGTAGAGAGGCAGCGATCAGACTGCAGAAATTGGGGGATCACACAGGGCCGCCGAAGCCAGGGAAATAAAAAAAAAACTCACTTGGTGAGCGCTTAAAATGGAGAAGACACTATGTTCGGTGGAATGCAGCATGCAGAAGTGTATAAATGTCTTTGTTCTCAAGCTGCTCACCACCTACTGGGGGAGACAACATGTGCCCACAGTGAACCCCAGCAAGAGCTGCCCATAAAGACTGTCCTGTCGAGGCTGCAAACGGCAGAGTGGAATTGAGTTACTATGGTTCTCTTGTTGCTTCTGAGAGTAGGGAGGAGAAGGAAGGAAAGGAAATGCACTGTAAAAAAGTAACCAAAGAATTTTTCAGTAATTGTTTGAAACAAAGAAATGTTACATTTGGGATGGTATTTTCTTTAGTGGTCTCTAATGTGAGGTTTCTTCTTGAATGATAGATTATTTTGAGTGTTCAAAATGAAGGTATAATAGCTGTTGCGTTTAGATGTTTTTAGGTCGCCTGCGTACGCTAGAAGAGCATTCCGTCATTTCCATGTCCTTTGCACCCAGACAGTGGGTATGTCTAGAGAGTCCACTTGAGAGACTTACTAACCATTTCCTTCACTTGGGGCATTTAATGGACTAATGTGCCCCACATGATCTATTTTGATTTTCCTTTTACCTCAATACTTAAAGAAGAATATACATTATTGTAGCAAAATATTTATTTCGGAGTAAAACTATTAGAATTATCATGAGTCAGAACTAGTTGTACATCTGTCAACAACACTAAAAAGAGCTCCTCAAATAATTTCTGGGTAAACAGAAAAGTCAGCTAGAACAGTATCAGATTAATAATAGCCAGTAGCGCTTTTGATTTAGAAAAAGCTTTACCAACTAAAAATGTTAGTACTAGATTTAATTAATATTTAATTAGTGTTACTTGACTGCTTTTAGTCAATTCGCTAATCATTTGAATGTGGGTACATATTTGAAAGACGTGGTTTTAACTTGTGAGACGTGCTCTAGTAAGTCTGCCTTTAGTGAGGAGATCCAGTAGTATTTTTCTTCAGGTCCCTAGTGCCAAGAGACATTTACAGGTAGGAGTTTTATAGCAGGTGATTTTTTGAAAATTTGCTCATATGTTTATTTGTTTCTGAAGGATTTTGCAAACACCATTCCTGGACATGGCGGGATAATGGACAGATTTGATTGTCAGTATTTGATGGCAACTTTTGTGCACGTGTACATCACAAGTTTTATAAGGTACTTTTAGATTTTTAAAAATGTTTTATTAAGATGATTTCTTTGAATTCTCATTTCCATAGGTATTAGTTTGAACGAATTACTTTTCTGTCAGTGGTAATTATAATATAAAAAGGGAATGGCAGCCCCTGGAGTTGGCGTCACATTGTAGCCCTGAGAAGTATGATTAAGAAAAAATGGTTAAATTATAATTATTTTACACACATTTGCATAACTTAAGTAATAGTATATATCATGGTATTTAATAGGACCAAGGTAAAATCTAGGTAATGTGGGTGGTAGTGAATTGACTCATCAGATTTCTCATTTTCTGTGGTATACAATGATAGTGAATACTAAGTAAAAAGGAGGAGGGTGTAATAATTCATCCAGTCCACCAGCTATTGCTTGAGTGCCTGTGAAGTGTTGGGGAATGTTCCAGGCATGGATATAGCAAAGAACAAAACAAACTCCCTGCACTCAGAGCTTATGTTCTTATTGGGGAGCTGGAGAGAGAAGGGGCAGAAAAGGACAAAAAACAAATTTAGTTTGTTAGCTGGTGGTAAGTGCCATGGAGAAAAATAAAGCAGGCCAGAGGATTATGGTTGTATGGGGGGTGGGGAGTGGGGTGGGGGGGTATGGAGAAGTGGGGTGAATGGAGGGATGTTGCTTTTTTGTATAGGGTGGTTTATTCTTGTTATTAAACCATAAGGTTTGGGGGTGCCTGGGTGGCTCAGTGGGTTAAAGCTTCTGCCTTCGGCTCAGATCATGATCTCGGGGTCCTGGGATGGAGCCCCACATCGGGCTCTCTGCTCAGCAGGGAGCCTGCTTCCCTTTCTCTCTCTGCTTGCCTCTCTGCCTACTTGTGATCTCTGTCTGTCAAATAAATAAATAAAATCTTCAAAAAATAAAAATTTTAAAAAAACCATAAGGTTTGGGATCTGCCCTAAAATGCTAGTTTGTGGTGTGAAAACAAACCACAGCAAGCAACGTTAACTTCATTTTCCACAGTCTCTGCAGAGTAGCTGACCACAGAAAACATGTATTTCCTTCAGAGAGTATTTAGAAATTCATATTTGTAGATCCCCAAACACATATTTTAAAAATATACCCAGGGCAATGTTGGAATTTTGTATTAATTTTTATTTTTCTTGAGCAGTTTGTTAGGAGTTTATTTCATTAATCTTTCCAAAGAATCAAATTCTGGCTTTGTTAACTTCGTGTTTCATTGATGTCTGCTTGCATCTTTCATTCCTTCATCTTTCTAAGACAAAATTTGGTGTTGCTTTTTGAGCTTCTTGAGATAAAGCTTAGTTTATTGATTTTCAGCCTTTTGTCTGAAATGTTCATCCAAGACTATAAATTCCCTCTTAAGTACTGCTTTACTCTCACCTTACATGTTATGTTTGCATTTTCATTCTCAGTTACAAATACTTCCTGGTTTCCAGTATGATATCTGCTTTGGCATGTGGGTTATTTAGATGTGTGTTGATGGCTTTCCAAACAAATGGATTTCCTCATTCTCCTTCCTTTATTGACTTCATTTTACATGGTCAGAAAGCATACTCTTCATCATTTCAGTTTCTGTTTATAGAGACTTGTTTTGTGTCCAGTATCTTGTCTGTTGAGTATGTGTCCGTGTGCCCATGTGCATCTGCATGGTGGGGATGTAGGGCTGTGAGTGTTAGCTACATCTTCTGTACTCATTGTTTGTTTCCATTTTTCATCTTTTCAGGAAGAGAGCTTTGTCAAAATATCCCACTGTGATTGTTTCTTTTAAAACATTTATCTATTTATTTTAGAGCGAGAGAGCACAAGCAGGAAGGGCAGAGGGAGAGAGAGAATCCCAGGCAGGCTCCACAGCCAGCATGGAGCCCAACTCAGGCCCAACCCCATGACCCTGAGATCATGACCTGAGCTGAAATCAGGAGCTGGATGCTCAGCTGACTGAGCCACCCAGGTGCCCCTCCCCCACTGTGATTGTCAATTTACTTATTCCTAGTCTGACAATTTTTGCTTTATGTATTCTGTGGTGGCTTTAGGTATATACACATTCAGGACTGTCCTGTCTCCCTGTTGAATAACTCCTAATATTGTTCTGTAATGTCCATCTTTATATACAATTTGCTTAAAGCCTATTTGGTTGGATATTAGAATAATGGCATCAGCCTTCTTTTGGTTAGTATTTATATAGTGATTGTCAATCCTTTTATTTTTAGCATTCCTTTATCCTTATTTAAAGCATGTTTCTCTTCTAATAGGCATATAGATTGACCTTAGTTTTGTTTTTTTTTTTTAAATAACCCAGAGGACATTTGTCTCTTTTTCTTTTTAAGATTTTATTTATTTGAGATAGAGCATGCACGTGCACGAGAGAGAGGGCACGCATGTGTGCACACATGAGTGGGGGGAGGGGCAGAGGCAGAGGGAGAAGCAGATTCCCCACTGAGCAGGGAGCCCAATGAGATCATGACCTCAGATCACAGGACCCTGAGATCATGACCTGAACCAAAGGCAGATGCTTAACCATCTGGGCCACCCAGGTGTCCCTAACTTTTATCGTTTTAATTGGAGTGTTTAATCCATTTATATGGCAGTTCCTGATATATCAGAGTATTAGTAATTAATGAATCCTTTGGACTCTGTTTTCAGATGGTGGCAGCTTCTGGGCATTAAATCACTTTTTTTTTTTTTTAACCCGTTCTCTCAGTAGAGAAAAGTCATGCTGAGCCACGTTGTCTACCATTTGAAAGCAAATATTTAGACTAATAGAAATACAGGGCTAGTGCCAGGGTGCGTCTTGCTGGGAGCACCTGCTGACATAATTTTGTATTTAGCTGAACTTGCTACAATACTCTTCCTTTCCTCTGTGGGTCCTTACTCTGGGTTTGTTATGAGGTTGCTGAACCTTTTGATTCAGCAAAGACAAGCTGTGCCCTGACTGGAGTAGACAGTGGCGGTGAGAGACATCTGGCCACACTTCTGGCAGATGTGGAGCTAATCCTCGTGCACAAAGGTGATCCAGGGGATGGATGATCTGTGCTGTGGTGTGGTTGGTTTAATCAAAGACTTTTGTTGGGATATCCCTAAATAGCAGACATTTCCTTGTTACTGGGTTTTCTGTTTCCTAGAATTCCATTTGAACTGAACAGTTCTAAGAAATTTAGTTACCTGTATAAATGTCCTTCTCAGAATTCAGTGCCCTTCTCCATATATCTTTTATGTGTTGCTGTTTTCCACTGGATTTTACTAATGTCTCTTTCCAAGAAGTGAACAATAATCTGTTTTTCATATTCAGATGGACTGTAGAAATTGCAGAGAACAATACATATATATTGATATTGGAATTCTGTTCATTCTGAATTTGACAATATAGCACTGTAGAAGATCACACAGGTGTAAATGAGTTGAGTTCCAGAGTCGGGGCTGGGGGGAGTTACTATAACCCCTGACTATATGAGTGTCAGAGCAGGGAAAGAGTGAGAGTCCTGTTTAGGACCTTTTCTGATTCAAGTGCAACATGGAAGGGTGGGAAAAAGAGGGCTGGGGTCGGGAGGTAAGGGGGTGGGGGCTGTTGGAGGAGACTTTCCTGGGAGAGAAGGGTGAGCATGCCGTACCACTGCCTCATTGTTGCCTTGCTTCTCCCTGGGCTCACTTCGCCTCCGCTGGAACTTCTGTCAGGTGGGTGAGGAGGGCAGGCTGTCTGCCTCTTCATCCTCCTTTCAACTAGAAAAAACCCACTTTTGTTTCCTATATTGGGGTTCACCGAAGACTTTCTTTGGGCAAAGCCTGTGACATCTACTGTCGATCCTGGGTAGGGGCTTCAGTGCCAGGTGTGCACCTTAGTGTCCTGTCTCGTGAACATTCATAATACCCTAGGGGCACTTATTGAAGTTTCTCTGAAGCTAAAAATTTAAGGTATATTTTCATGTCCTCTATAGCTTCATCCACTGGGACTTTGCTCCCTTCCTTAAAGGATGGTTCTTGAGTCTTGACCAGTCAGGATTCGTTCCCTGTCCCCACCTCTAACTCAGGTTGCTCCTTTGAGATGTTTTGTAGAACTGAGATCTGCGCCCCCTAGATTGCCTACTGCTGTTCAGGCATTTTGTGTTTGTGCATTCTTCCCAAATGTACTGTATGCCTCTCGGTGCCAAATATCTATGGGGCTTTTTCTCCCTCAGACACCAACATTGGGCACTAAAGCGAGCTTGATCAATGAAGGTGGTTACTCTACACTTACGTGCATGATTTAGTTTCAGTTGGAAGTATGTGCTTCCTTTGGGTCTCTCCAAATAACATGAGCTTGGCCTTTTCTGCTTTGTTACCAGGGGTCCGAATCCCAGCAAAGTGCTGCAGCAGTTGTTGGCGCTTCAGCCGGAACAGCAGTTAAATATATATCAAACCCTGAAGACTCATCTGATTGAGAAAGGAATTCTACAGCCCACCTCGAAGGTATAGCTGGATCCAGAAAGGGAAGGACTAATCATAAGGAGTTCTACAGGAAAGCACTGACCGATAAAATTTTGTAATTGCACAGAAAACTGGTTAAAAATGCAATAGATTGAAGTTTTATGACGCGAATGTCTCTTCTCGAAATTACTGTGAATATTTAACACTTACTTGATCTAAGTTATGAAATAAGTAGCAAATTATCAGCAAAAAAATCCTGTACTTTTTCTAAAGTGTATTCTCTGATGTTAACTTCCTTCCCCCGACTTGCTAGGTTTCATAATGTAAAAGACTTGTGTTTTAAAGAGTCAAATGGAAAAAGAGTAAATTGAGGATGTCTTAAGATTGCATCTGGCATTGTGCCCTTTGCACAAATATTTACTTTTGTACTTGGAGCTGCTCTTAATTTTAACAAAATGTTTTGTGTAAGGCACAATAGGAAGTTAGTTCTCCTGCACTTCCTCCTCTCAGTCTGAAGTCCTTTCTGAAGGGCTGAGTTGGATCCAAAAAAGAAAAAAAAATCTTGTCCGTTTTTCAAAGAAATAAGTAAACATTTGCCAGGGGAAAACATGCCATTTTTAGGTAGGTTCAAAAAGAGCAGACATCAAAGTCGACTCCTGATAAAATCATTTGGAAAAACATGACAGTTGCAAAAAAAAAAAAAAGTCTTCAAGAAAAACAAAGGAGAATTCTGCTCTGAAAGACATGATTTAGGCATCTTTCACAGATTCTCTCCACAGCCGATCACAGCTCAGGAGGCCGAGGATAGAGATGAAGGCCCTGGGCCACCTCTTGGTCGAATCCTCTGCTTTTCCTTGTTTCCTAGTGAACTGGCATCCATCAGTTCTGCAGCCTCAAGCCCGTAAGATCAGTGTAGGGGGTAGTGAGCAGGGGTGGTGGCTGACGCAGAGCTAGAGGGGCCGTCCCCAGCCGGGCTCTGCAGGCCTGTGTCCCAGGGGGCCTCCCTGCTGGCACCCTGGGCGGGCAGCCCTCGGGACACTCACCTGGCGAGGAGGAAGATCGGCCCGCAGACTCAAGCCCAGGCCCACTCCCTGCTAACAGCTCATCTTCGCTCCCTTCCTCTTGTACATCATGTCATGAAATCTGAGGACATCAGCTGATGATTTTTTTCTTCCAAGAATGAAAATCAAGCAGAAGTGATTCTCATCAAGAACCAAAAGCACACGAATGCCAAACCTTTCCTCTGTGGGACTGGACACTGTAACCAGATAAGAAGTGTATTCTCATCAGTGACTGTAAATAAGCTGCACTTGCTGTGGGCGCTCCGCGACCGTATCTGCTGTAGAGCACGGGGGGCACAGAGCCCTCTGGACGTGGCCTCGTGCTCCGTGGCGAACTGTTCAGAGGGGAGAAAAAGAGATTTTTCAAGACTGTTTTGCTAATGAAAAGAGTAATATTTTTGTTTAAATCAGAAACAGATTTCAGTTATTTTCTATTTCCGTTCTCCTCTAGTACCTGGAATAAGAGATGATGGATCTGCCCAGGATCCGTGGATGTGAGTCGGTAACTGGCAGCTTCATCTGTGCACTACAGGACTGCAGGAGATCTAGTTACACTCCATACCAGGGATCTGAGTTCTCGGCTTGGCACGCACGCAGTCAGTTCGCCTGCACGGGATGTGTTCAGTCAGCATTATTTAAGACCATCCCGTAAAAACCTAGAATTGGCACTGGAAATGTTATTACAGGAGGGAATGATTCCTTTTCAAGTCAGGCTACCTGCAGGTTTGATTTTCAGCATCTCTCATTTACATTTGCCTCATTAAAATCTCCAAATGCTTATTGTAAAAGAATTTAGATTAGCAGAGGTTAAAAAATACGATGAAAAATTTGTCACAGGAACTTACATTGAAAACTTGGTGATATGCACAATAAGAACTGCTTGGAGATACATGGTTCCCTCCGCATTTTTCTTTAAAGTGATTGGTGAGGGACTGCAATGCAGAATTATAAGAGAGCATTACTGAATACACGTATTATAAAATCCTATTATAAACAAAATATGAAGCTAGAAATATTTGGGGGTCACAGTAATAGCTTTCATCAAATATACTTTTAGAGTTGGGTGTACATTATTCTATATGTAAAAAAGTAAATTCTTAATTTTAACAGAGCTCTAACGATTGACCTTTTTAGTGTACTTTTATAGCATGTATATTAAAATAGAATATATTTTAGCAAAAGATTGCCATAAAACCCTGACTTCAATCATTTTTATATTCGTGCTGTGAAGAAAGCTTAAATTCCAGTGTGGGAATGTGGTGAAAGGAAAATAAAAGACTGGGAACTTCCTTCACAGTAATGGCTACTTGTTCCAAATTTGCTATTTTTGGAGGGACTGTACTTGTACTAATTGCTTGACTTTTGAATATGTGGGATGCAAATGTTTCCTCAGTGCTTTTCCCCTCGTGGTAATACATATACATTTACTGTCTGTGAATAAAAAGACCACACCTATTACACCTCCCCCCCCTTTTGTTTCATTTATCGTCTCTCTTCCGCGGGACTTTGGTTTGAACAAAGACAGTATCACCTTGTTCAGTACAAAAGAAAAAACTAGAAAGTGGACATATACTTTATATGGGTGGAAGATAGCTTATGATTTGTGTTAAGTTCTCTGAATCTTTTACGAAGGAAAGGAAAATAAATTTGAAACAAATCATATTTTGACTCTGTTGTGCCATTTTCTCACTAGAGAATTATTCGTTCATTCAGCTAACGTTTACAAACTGACCACAGCTATGTTAAGCACTGCGTCTTATCTGTATCCCATTGCCAGCATCTCCAGTGACACCTTCAGGGCTGGGATCCATACGGCTGTTATGAGAGAACATGTGTGTTGAAAGGTGATATCCTCTTAATAGAGTACTCAATTTTTATGTTTTCCACGGCTTATAAGGACGTATTTACTTCTGTGACTCTCTGATCTGGTCCCCTAGACTTTAAGCTATATGGCCGCTGAATGGCAGCGGGTTTTTATTGTTGTTGTTTTAAAGATTATTATTTGACAGAGACACAGTGAGAGAGGGAACACAAACAGGGGGAGTGAGAGGGAGAAGCAGACTTCTCACTGAGCAGGGAGCCAGACATGGGGCTCCATCCCAGGACCCTGGGATCATGACCTGAGCTGAAAGCAGACGCCTAACGACTGAGCCACCCAGGCACCCCTGTGGCAGTGGTTTTGATCAGCCATTGTGTCCCCAGTGTCTGGCTCCATGCCAGCACCCCTGAGGCCTTTGAGCTTCTGAATGGATGAATGGGTTTAGAGTCTTAAGACCCAACTGTGCACATTTCTACTTGTCTTCATTGGACAGCCATTTCCCACCCATCCTGGTTTTCATTTGCATGACCCTAAAATGGATGTCATTATTCCTCCTTCTTAGGGTTAGGGATTAGGTAAAAAAAAGTTCATAGGAAAGTATCATGATTTGTGTCCTGCATAGAAGAGCTGATCTGTATCCTTAATGTCCTCTCTTCATCCTTTCTGTTCCTCCTCTTGTCCAGATCTGGTGCAAAGGGATAATCTGCTAGAATGGAACAAAGAGAAAACCACATTTGGCCACTTACGATTTAGGAGGGGTTAACATCAGGAGTTCCTTGATTAGAAGACAGCCCGTCTGCTGGCTTCAGCAAACCTGTGGCATTTCCCAGATATCCAGTGCGGGGCTTTGTCCCAGCCCCAAGAATAAGAACTGTCGGTCTTCACCTAGTCACGGAGACAGAGGTGAATGCCCTATGAGGTAGATGTCAATTGGGGCAGTGACAAATGTATAAAGTGGAGGGGGAAATGGGAGATTACCCTTCTAGCCTCCATGGAGGATCTGTCTGCCGTATGGACAGTCTGCCGCCAGCTCTCTCCATCTGCTCCAGAAACTTGACGAAGTGTAAAAGTCACTCCTTAAGGAGGGGCTGTATTTGGGAATCTGTATGTTGTGGCTGCAAATAAAAAGCAGGTCTAGACAAATGAACCCAAATCAGAAACCTGTCCTACCTCCCTCAATGCCATTTGTCTTTCTTTTCCTGTGCGGAAGGGGAGAATGTTCTTGAATCATTAGATAACATCGAGAGTCATTTAGTAAGGGTTGATGAATGGAATGGCATTTGATAATAGCAGGGGAGTTTCTAAAAGGAGCTGAAAAAAATGCAGCCTGCTTCTCTCATGTGTACAAGGGACATGAATGGGTAGAGCAAAAGCCTTGTTGCCCAGATAGCGAAAATCACTGAGGGACGGTCCACCCAAAGGTGTCCTCTCAGTGAGAAACCGAGATCTCCAACTGCCATCCGACTTAGAGCACAACCTTACTGTTCCGGGGCACAAGTTCTCAGATCCCCCTTTCCACTGTGTGCCCAGCTTGAGTTCACTTGATCCAGTGGTATTCTGTTCAAGAATGTACGACGACAGACTTCAGACAGGACCTAAAAGAGTGAGAAGTTCGAGAACATTTTTGAGTAATCTAGTAAGCATAGTTTTGATCAGTTTTAATCTCAAAAATTTATGAGGAAAAGGAACCCAATGGCTTTAGCTAGAATAGCTAAGACAGACACAAGTGAATCATCAGGAATTCTGTTTTTCAACAGCTTCATCAAGATACAGTTTACACTCTGTAACCCTGTGCAAGCATCACCACATCCAGGTTAACACTGTTTCCATCACCCCACTAAGTTCCCTGGTGCCCGTTTGCACCTAACCCCCCGCTCCAACCCCCAGGCTTCAGCAACCACTGCTCTGCTTTCTGTCTCTAGAAATTTGCTTTTTCTGGACGTCGCCTATAAAAGGAATCATACAATATGTAGCGTTTTGCATCTGGCATAATATTTTTTTATGTATCAGTACTTCATTCCTTTTTATGAATACCATATGGTACTGGCCTACTTACCAGTTGACTGGCATTTGGGTTGTTTCCAATTTGGGGTTCTTAAGAAAAATGTTGCTATGAATATTTGCAGACATGTCTCCATTTCTCTTGGATTTCTAAAGGTGGAATTGCAGGGTCATATATTTTTTGATATTTTTTAACTTTTATGATATAAATTATCATATATAACTTACATGATATTTTTTATCTTTTAAAGAAATGGCCAACTGTCCAAAGAGGCTGGGCAACCTTACTTCCTTGCTTGCAGTGTGCATGGGTCCCAGTTTCTCTGCGTCCTCACCAAAACCCAACATGTCCATTTTGAGAGAGAGAGAATGCGTATGTCAGGGAGAGGCAAAGGGAGAGGGAGAGAATCTTAAGCAGGCTCCACACCCCTTGCAGAGCCCAATGCGGGGCTCAGTGATGTGGGGCCCCACACGAGTCTGCATCCCAGACCTGGAGATTATGACCTGAGCAAAAATCAAGATAGGACACTTAACCGACTGACCACCTAGGCACCCTGGCATGTCCATCTTTTTAATGATAGCCATTTTAGCTGGGATCTAGAGGGGAATCTAGAGAAATCTCCAAGTAGTTTTAGTGGCATTTCCACACGGCTGATGGTGCTAAGCATCTTTTCATGTGCTTATTTGGCATTTGTATATCTACCTTGATGAAATGTCCATTCATATCTTTGCCTATTTTTACATGGGATAGTTTTTCTTTGTAGTGAGTTGTAAGAGATCGCTATATATCCTGGAGGCAAAACCCTTATCAGATACATGACTT